CCAAGTTACAAGACCTTTGCACCCCTAACCCTTTAAAAAAAAAACCCCAGGGGTGTTCAAAGTTGACAGCTTTAAGACTTGTGGACTTCAACTCCCAGAATTCCTCCTCTCGCTCTTCACCTTGATGATGTGCAGACAGGCAGGGGGAGGGAGCTGGAACCGGTTCTAAACGGCACTGTAGATTTGTGGAACCTCTTCTATAGAAGAGGTTAGAACTGGCAGGAACCCATCCCTGCTGGAGACCTCCGATCTGGCAAATGTTGGAAATGTAAATCAAAAGACGGGCACATTTTATGTGGTGGACTTGTGCTAAAAAAAATACACAGAAAAGATAATAGGGGAAACCTGTAGATTTTAAACTTGAACTGTTTTTATTAGGGGTGATATCAGGAAAAAAAATTGACAAGTATGTACTTAATATTACACGTCTTAACAGCAGTGAGGATTATATTTGCACAATACTGGAAAAATGAAGATATTCCGCAAGATGAAGAGCTAATCAGGAAGATGCTAGATGGTGCAGAAATGGATAGATTGACATCAAAAATTAAAGAGAAAAGAAGATGTAGATTATTATCAAACATGGAATCTATTTTACCAGTGGTTGGAAAAAAGGAGAGGAAAGTAAGAATGGAATCTGTATTGCTAAGCGGATTAAATACCCAGGCGAAATGATGTTTATTAAACAGGAAGAAACGTAATTAATAGAAAATTAATAACATTTTTTTTTAAAGAACAGAACATTTGTGACTGTTGTCGTGTCCCAATTTCACGCGAATCCCTTTTGCAACCGTCTCGCAAGCAAAATCAATGGGGAAGCCAGATTCACTTATCAAGGGAGGCAAGTGTGAAGATTCCAGAAGAGGCCCTAATTAATTTACGAGCCTCGAGACAAAGTTCAAAAGAAACCCAGTCATTTTATTAGGAGCAACATTTTGGCATTTTCTTCTCCTGCGGAGCCAAATCTGATTTCCGTTTAATGCCGTCTTGAGCTTTACCCCTGTGTCTCGTCTCCCCTCAGTCTGTGTCATGAATCACATCCACCAACGAGGTGCTGCAGCAGGCTGTGAACTTTCGCGCCTCACTTGGCCTGCTCTAGAAATCTGAGATCCGACTCTGGCCGAAGGTTATGTGTGGAATTCTCCCTCCCTTCAATGTCAACTTGATGATAGGCATGGAAACCCTTTAGAAGTTGACAGCGAAAGGGGGCAACATTTCGATTCACAAATGTCTCGCTTAACAACGGAAATCTGGCCTCAGTGCTTGCTGTAAGTCAAAATCGACCTGATTAGGCCCACTCTCTTTTCAACAGCTGGGAGGAATTCACGTGTCCGCTTCCGTGACTTTTTCGACCGCTCTGGAGGCCCGTCCCTGCTCCCCAGGGATTTCCAGCCCCTTCCAACTCTCTTCTTAGAATGAATTGTACCGCCTTGATGGGATCTTCCAGGCGTCCCCATTTCTTTGAATCCATCTGAAAGGAGGCAGCTTGACAAGTAGAATGGAGAAATAGGGCAGCGTGGGATCGAGGTATTATATTTCTGCTGACGCAACTGAGGTTCTGTCTTTGCTGTTTTGCAAACCCATCGTAAACCCTGATTTAGATGCGGCTTGCCATCACTGTCGCAACAAGCCCGCAACGAAAATTAGATCGAGGGCCAGGGAGGTGAGAAGGAGTAGCAAAAAAAAAATATCAATCAATCAATCACAATAGAGCTGGAAGGGACCTTGGAGGTCTTCTAGTCCAACCCCCTGCCTAGGCAGGAAACCCTATCCCGTTTCAGACAAATGGCTATCCAACCTCTTCTAAAAGACTTCCAGTGTTGGGGCATTCACAACTTCTGGAGGCAAGTAGTTCCTCTGGTTAATTTTCCTCACTGTTAGGAAATTTCTCTTCAATTCCAAGTTGCTTCTCTCCTTGATTAATTCCCATCCATTATTTCTCATCCATTACTGGTAGTGACCAAGAGAGGCTCAGTGGCTAGGACGCTGAGCTTGTCAATCAGAAAGGTCGGCAGTTCGGCGGTTCGAATCCCCAGCGCCGCGTAACGGAGTGAGCTCCCGTGACTTGTCCCAGCTTCTGCCAACCTAGCCGTTCGAAAGCAGGTAAAAAGTGCAAGTAGAAAAATAGGGCCCCCCCTTTGGTGGGAAGGGAACATGCCGGCCACATGACCACGGAGACGTCTTTGGACAAAGCTGGCTCTTCGGCTTTGAAACGGAGATGAAAGGAAAGAAGGAGTGGGAGTGGGA